ATTAAAATAATACCTTAAATACTTAATTTTCTTAAGTAAAAGTTATAAGAAATTTAAAGTTCTCTTAAGCTTATAATTATTATACTTTAAAGAGTATTAATTATAATAATAATATATATATATAAGTTTATATTTAATTATAAAAGAGAGAATTATATATACCTTTTTTATAAGTACGCTTATTATTAGGGTTATTTACTTATAGTTAAGGGTTTACCCTTATTTAATTATGCGTACGTAATTTGTACCCGTAACAAGTAACCCATTCTAACACTATATTATGCGCTTGTAGCGTAGTATCAGATGTCCCCCTGGCCAATTTCACACATCTTATACAGAATAACGCGGGCCGATACTAATTGATACCAGGTGGCCTCTTGAAGCCGGCAGAGACCCATCCACGGCTTCATAGGCTGTGATTCCCGAAATTGGGGTCAAAAAATTAAGGTCAACTTTTTGACCCTGGTCAGTACATGCTCCACTAATTTAAAGTGGGAATATTACTTTGTACCGTCTCACAGCGATTTTTTTAAGGCTTATGTGTCTTGACTCTTCTTGTGAGGTAGGTCATTTGGTGTTTCGTCTCTTATTCTAATTACTAATGATTTCTTAAGGGTCAAGCCTTAAATTATCATCGCCATATCGCGATCATCATCGCCGTATCGCGATTATCATCGCCGTATCGCGATTATTATTGCCGTATTACGAGCCTTAAATTATCATCGCTGTTATCCGATTAAGAATGTCGGTCACCCTAATTACAGAAATTAGCGTGAAGCTGCTTTGACCTTCCACCGACATTTTTTTCGAAAAGATTTCACGTAAATCTTGGCAACTAAGCCTTTTACAGGCATTAAAGCTACCCCTACTAGCTTGGTACATCGTGAGCAGGGATGGACGGAGGTTTGTGTAAAATATTGGGTCTCTGCTTAAATTTATGTGTTGCATCCAGCTAATTTGAGTCTAGCGCCCATATTGTGCTGAATTGTGCGTCGAAATTAAGGTCAAAAGATTGACCCCAATTCCGGGAATCACAGCCATAGCCTTGTTAGTTAGCTCAGAAAAGACACCTCAATGCTGATGCAATTCGTGAGCCATGCCATCGCATCATGGCCCAGCTTCTTTTACCCGGTACGCCGCCCATGTTCAGAGACGACGGAAACCCCAACAATGAATGGTACATTGCCTCTTTAGGTTATAGCTACCTTGCCTGCCTAGCTTAATAGGATGGATACACACATGCTGGCACCCGCTTGCCTAGCCGCAGGTTTGCATACCCTCATCTGCGAAACCCGATCTAGATGTCTGCTGGGTGGTATGACGACATGGTGGGGATGGGGAGACTTTCGACACCCTTCATGACAGCATCTAGGTTGTTAGGCCGCTGCTTTTCGGGGCGCGAAGAGGCCGAGAGAGTGTCTGAAAATGGAGGGATGACAACTTCAAGCTGAAGAGGAGCCGAAAAGCCGATGGCTGCCCAACAGCACTCTCACAGAACCGTTGTGTTTGATCCGTGTGGTTTGCCACGTTCAAGTTGCATCAAGACCTGAGTTTGGATAGAGGCCATGACTGTGAAATGACGGATTGACTGCGAGGAGAAGCAACCAATGCCCGGCAGCTTTTTCGGCTTGAAGACAAGGCACTTCTACCCGGGGTTGCCAATTGGTGATGCCCTCTTTTTGAACCAAGGACCGATTTCATCAGAGTGTGGCCCGTCGTCCCCAGCTTGGTGGGCGGAATGCATTGCGCTGGCGGCGGCGCGAGCTCCGTGATCCGTGAGGGTTCGCTGTTGTCCCACGACAAAATACAAAATTTTTTTTTTCCGTTATACCGCCTGTGTGACAGCTGTTCTCCGTTTTTTTTACGTCAACGCTGTGGAGAGGACTTCGCCTGATGGGTGGTCGTCCGTCGACCCGGTGCTAAAAGGAGAATGCGCCAACAAGGTACGGAGTATATCATCATGAATGGAAGGAAGAGGGCGATCGAAGCGGGGATGTTAACAAGACGATGAACAAACACATAGCCTCGTAGTCTTTGGCTCCTCGCGACCCTGCCTTGACAACTGCAACTACATGCGAAGCTACAGATAGGATTGACGATTCTCACACACTCGGACGTAGTAATCATTTCTTCTTCAGTCATGGAAAAGCTCCACGATCACCCAAGCAACACCAGCACCATCAAGAAGCTAGTCGGGCGTCTTCGCGGAAACAGTGTTAGTACACCAAACACACCGCAGAGAGACGAGGGCTATATATCCAATTCGTCGCGAGCGCCCTCATTTCGCATTCGTACGCCTCGAATATCCAGGTCGCCGGATTCACATTGCAGCTCATCAACGAAGAAACGAGGCAAAAACGGTCACTATGTGCGAGATGCTCAACTTGCCTTGGAGTTATGGAACGACGCATATGATGCCTTACGAGACGATCCTAGTTGTACCGGCTTGGTAACTGCGTACGAGAATATTATATCACAAGAGCTTCCAGATCATTTAAAAATGGGCGGCCTTAACTCGTCATTCCGCAGCAAACCGGTGGATCAGCGATTAGAGTTGCTCACAGCCATAACCACAGCCGGGCTTGAGAAGCGGAGAAGATCCAAAATTTCTTAGGCCGACGACTCTGCGAAGATAGTACTGGATGCGGTGAGAGACCGAGTCGGCTCGGTTGTGGCAGAATATCATGCTGCATCGGTGGCTTGGCCAGGTTTTTGCACACTGACCCCGGTGAGTAACAGGTGGAATTCAAAGGCTGTCCTATATGTGTACTAATAAACCCATTTCAGCTTCTACTGGATCCAATAGTTAACCAGGAAGATTTCAGAAAGGGCCTCGTGCACGTTGTAGGTCGCACATCGTGGTATATGCATCTGGCACAGTTGCTGCTGGCCAATTCATGGGGGGCAGAGCACCAATACCGAGAACAGCGGCACGCACTCAGAGAGAGGCTGGTCAAACTGTACCAAAAAGTACTCGAGCTCGAGATGAATTGCGTCTGTGCCACGGCGAGTGCTTGGAACACAGCGGCCAAGAATGTAGTCGGCTGGAATACGCTGGACAAACTGGTGAACAATCTTTTGCACATGGACGCGCAAGTTGTCGAGATTATTGAGAAGCACTGCGCAGAGAGAATTCGGGAGACTCTGTTGCAAGAGAATCAAGATCTGGACATGTCATGGACGACGGGAGGCGTGGTTATCGTAGAGTCTACAACCGCGCACCCAATGCAGATGACGCAAGTAGCGGGTCAAGTCTAAACTTTCCTGGCAATTTTCGATGATAAAATAGGCATGGAATGGAAATGAGTCGAGATGGGATGGGATGATGTCCATAGTCAGCAGTTAGGCACAAACTCGGGTTGAGCACTAAAATCTCTTGCCGCGCGGCATCCCCGCTGCCACACAAGATGGAATGGACCTGGTGTTGCATTGCCACGCTTGGGTGCAGAGATGAATATTAAAATTGGCGTGACCTGCTGCCTCTTTGGCACTCCCTACGCGGGTCAAACCAGCCAAAAAGGTCAATTGGTGCATCAATGTTGCTTACAATTCCCTTGGTCAGCAAGAACGGAGCCAATCATCTATCCGAAAAGCACTTGACTACTAGTTGAGTGTTTGGGGAAGTTTATCATTGTATCTCGGACATGTATGCCTAGATGTACGCAAGACCGAGGAGAATAAATGTCACGACCAGAAAAGCAGCACATCTGCGATACGGGCCGTTGTCCAAGTTGCCGCCACTTGCAAGCTCAACACCAAGAGCGTCGGGAGTGAATCTCACCACTTTGGGCCTCACCATGGCAGGCGACGAAGCTGCAACAAGTGACGTTTCGGCAGCTGAGACAAGGGCCTTGCCGCCGTTGAGCATCATGAATTCAATACATACAACCGTATGGCAGATCAGATGGAACAATTCGTACGTTAGCCTCACTGGCAAAGCCGCAGCTTGTCATGCTAACTTCGTATCGCAGCACAACTACTTCCGCCAGACTTGGACCCTCCTCTGGACAGCGGCGACCACCTCCCGGCGCCCCCAGAATCTCGCCCAGAGGCAATTCCTCAACGAGGCCATCTCCTTTGCTCGCCACCTCTCGGCGCATCATGGCATCGAAGAAGCTCATATATTCCCGCTTCTCGCGACACGCATGCCCGAGTTTGACGCCAAGAGAGGGAGCTTGGTGAAGCAGCACGACCAGATCCACAAGGGGCTGGAGGATTTCGAGACGTACGTGAAGCAGTGTCATGCGGGAAGGGAGGATTTCGAAATGGGTGTTTTGAGGGAAAAAATGGAAGGGTGGGAAGGGGTGCTGTGGAAGCATCTGGACGAGGAGGTCAAGATGTTGGGCGCGGAGAGGATGAGGGCCGTCTGGAGCAAGGAGGAGATGATGAGGATGCCCATGTGAATTCTTCATAGGGGAATCTTAACCCCGATACGACAACTACGACAATATCCAAGATGCGCGTGGTTGTGGCGGACATGTAGTTACAACATTTAGCAACGGAGCCAGCCACAAGGTCCTTTTACGTTAGAGCACAAGATTCGGCAATTTTTTTCTTCTCTTTATTTGTCTCTAGTAAATAAATACTTGAAGAGTGTATTGTCCTTTTACCCACGACCCAGAATATTATACACACGCCATCTGCCCGGGTCAAGCAGTCGTGCGGCCAACTGAGCAAGACCAGATATCAAGCTCCCCTAGTCTATACGATCTAGACCCCTCCGTGTCGAAAAAAGGGGACAAAAGAAAACAAAAGTAGCACAGTAGAGACTGTCATCGTCCCGAATAAACTTGATACGCCCATCCCGTTTCCTTTCTCGTCATATTCCCCCAGTCCCCTACTACGCCGTCGACCGCCACAAGTCCACCATGGCACCCGTGGACGGGTAAAATGCCAACAGCGAAACCACCACGTCCGGCAAGAAGCCGCCCGTCGTCGAGCCCCAATGGACCGTCAGAGGCGCCCAGGCCAGGTTTCTGTAGAAGCTCTTGTTCCAGGCGGCCGCCCACTCGGGGTCCTTGGCCGCCGCACCGCCAGCCGTCCTGCGGCCTCGCTCGACCAGCAAGCGAGCGCCCTCCATGGCAACGTACAGCCCCCAGGCGCGGACGCTCAGCAGACCCAGGCGGCCCTGTGTGGCGGGCGCAAACGGCAGCACCTTCTTGCTCGACAGGAAGGCCACGTTCTCGGAAGCCTGGTAGACGATGAGCGAGGCGATCTGGGCGTAGGCGACCAGCGTGTCGAAGAGGGCCTCGGGCGCGTCCTCGGCAGGGTCGAGCTGCTTCTCGTTGCTGCTGCTCCCGGCGGCGGCGGCGCGCGACTTGAGCACCAGCCTCTTGGCGGCAAAGTAGAGCCCCAGCAGGCCCCAGAGGCGGCCCATGGTGCGGGTTTCGCTGATCATGGCGGCGAGGGCCTTGAAGCGGCCGCCGAGCTGGAGGGCGAGGGCGGCGAGCGAGGGCTGCGGCGCGGTCGAGGACATGATGACGGTCGTCGCGGGCGGGAGCTTGAAGGCCAGGGCGACGAGGCGGCGCGCGGATTGTCTGATGGCGGCGCCGCCGACGGCCTCCAGCACGGAGCCGGTCAGTCGAGAGGCGTAGCAGGCGAAGAGGAGGACCGTCTCGGCGCCCGACCGCGTCTGCATGCACCGGAAGAGGTGGGCGAGGAAGGCATCGGCGCGAGACGGCGCGGCGGCGAGCACCGCCGTGATGGGAGCTTTCTGGTTCGACGGCGGCGGTAGCGACGGCGGAACGGCGGCATCGACGCTCGTGTCGACGCTCGAGGAGGGCTTGTCGGCGGCGCTCATGGTATGTCGAGATGCGTGAGGTGCGGGGGAGTGAGGGATATTGGCTTGCTTGCTGGCCGCGATGACAGATGTCGACGCAGGCGGGCGGCCGCGATGAGATTATCGAATCGAGCCTCGGAAGAGCCGAGTTCGAATACTCTTAGCCTTGGTGAAGACGCTGTTGCGCCTGGTTCCGTACGGAAACTGCAGAACTGCACAATGCCACAGATCGGGAAAAGGGGGAGCCGACCCGTTGAGAATTGTTGAGCGCTTGTATCACTTTGTGTGATGTGATGCGGCGGCGACCGGGGTCGAGCTGCATGCGTCTGGGCAACAACAGCTTGTGGAGGCCGGCTTCTCTCTGTCTGTGTTCTTTCCTGGAGGTCCCCGTGCCTTGTTCAGATATACCATCCATCATCATGGCATGCAACTGGCCGCGGTGCCTCGGCATGCGGCTACTACGCTGCGGAGGCCATCGTCCGGCTAATGTGACGGCAAGGTGTGGCCCCGGGTTGCCTTGGGGTCCATTTCGAGGACGGTACGTACACATCAATGATACGTTATGGGCACGACGTCCTGGAGCTGTTAGGGCACATGGATGAAGCTCCATCCCCGCGGAGGTAGCCCGTCCACTCAGGGTTTTGTGTTACTCCCTCCCACTTGGAAGCAGGGTTGGGAGAACGGAGTGCCACGTAACCCCAACCCTAAAACACAGATCTCATTGGTGTGAGGGGAAGTTAGGAAAATCTTCCTGCGTATGGAGTGCTCCACAGTCGGTCGAACTAATAAAGGTGGCACGCGCCGGAACCCGTCTTTATATCGATACTAGAAACAAGCATAAGCATGGGATCAGTAACATGTTTGCATTTTCAAGTCGAAATGTCCTGTGCTTACTCCGTACTCTTGGTAGTGCCAGGACAGAAAGGCTCTGCTAACAACCTCCAGAACCCCAATCATGTTAATACAACCAGCCTGGGGGGTATGAAGCGACCAATTCCGCGTTGCAGCATGGCATATGCTCTCAAGTCTAACAGTGAGCATATGTATTCCACAGCGAATTCCTCAGGCCACAAGGACCAGAATCTACACGAGACCTCCTCGTAGCCGTGGCCTTGCCCGCCTCACCATGTGCTTCAAACTAGCAGCATTGCCACAAGACATATTTTCCAAGCAGAAGAAATGATTAAAGTCTTCAAAACCTTCCCCAAGGAGCTCTTCCGAGTACATAACGGCGCGCACGTGCAACTGCGCGAATGGGCACTGAATCGCCCGGTATACGATGTTATCCTCAGTCACGGCTTAGTCCAGGCAAAGGCACTGAATCCATCCTCATACCGAGGTAAGCAGCCCAAGAGAATGAAATCTTGAACTCTGGCCATAATTGACCTCAGATAGCTCCAAATGGTGCTTCTCTGCGACCAAACTCACCCTATCAACAACAGTATCTTGTTTCCCGAATATTCAAGGGGTACGACATAATCGTGTACGCCATACCCAGAGGAGAGTCCCTACTTTTTCTCTTCTCCTTCGTCACATCACCACAACTTGGACATTATCGTACTAACTACAGCGTTTAGGGACCCCTGTGCCCGATGACTTGTTGCTCGTGCACGAGCGGTCCGATCATTTTTCGCTACAGCCGTCTAGAGACACATGACTATACAAGGTAACTATGCCGACCGTTCCCTCCCCTAAGGCTGTCTCGTTCAATTGAGACACTTTGGCAGGGTTGAATGCCAGAATAACGGACTTTCTCATGGGCCATGCAACCTTGCGTACCAAGGAGCAGTGGCTGCAAGACTACCCGACGGCCACGGACTTTGGCCATGCCCAAGGCCGACTGAGCCGAAAATGACATACCTTGATGTTTTTGAAGGGTGCCATTTTACGACTTGGTAGAGGAGATATCGGGAGAATGAAATCGGACGGCCTGTGAAACTTGTGAACATATCATGTATTGGAGTCGCTGGACTCATTTCTAACATAATCTTTCCCCTCTCCTCTTTTGAGTCCCCTCCGTAGCAATCTATGAGATACAGGGAGAGAAGAAGACGAGAGCTTCACCACATACTCCCCGATGAATTTTTTCGATGCAAATCGTACATTTGACCGCATGTTTCGTTTCATCCGTCTCATCCGTCACATCCATCAAGACCCGTCCCATTCCGTGCATGACAGCTAGGACAAACAAAAGAAAAATGGCCACAAATAGTATTTAATATCTTCCCGTGTGCCGTAAGCAGCGCGAAATATGTGCGCCTACGCCCCGAATACCAAGTTTGTTTAAATGCGTATCTCCCCAACAACGAATCACCAGTGGCTTCTTTCTCAACCCCGAACAGCAGCTCCCAAAGCACCACCGGTAAACTGAGTGCCGCCAGCTTGCCTCTGAGTGTTGCCACCGGTGCGGGCACCACCGCGCCCAGAGCGTTGGCCGCCCCGCTGGCCACCACGGCCTCGGCCTCCTTGCCGCTCGAAGGCGTTGGATGTGCCTTGAGTCCGCTGCTCCAGAGTTCGTTCGTTGGTCTCGATAAGCGCGCTGGCCTTGTCGGACAGTGTGAGAGCCAAGGATTGCAGGCGGCTAAGCTCGACGCCCTTGCGGAAGATGACATTGTTGGTGACCTGGTCGAGAGAAGCGGCCAACTCCTCATGGCTGATCATTTTGCTGACAATGGCGGCGACCTTGGCAATGTCCAGCTCAAACATGGCGCTTACAGTGTCGAGAGCGAGAGTGTCGTAGAAGGGGGCGTATGTGAACAGGTAGGTACGAAGGCCTTCTTCCTGGATCTGCTTGGAAAGCATAGCCTTGATATCCTCGGCGTTGGGCATCAGCTCCCAAATCTTGATGCTGTGGATGAAAGTGGTTGACTTCTTCCACTCGCCAGCAGCAAGAGCCTTGGAGGCTTGCATGACGTGGTCTCTCGTGTTCTCAGGGGGGCCGGTGAAAATTTGTCTCTCGTGGTACTCGAGCATGCGTCTGTAGGTCTTGCTGATGACACGTTTCTTGACGTCGGGTGAAGATCCAGTCTGGGCTAGCAGGGGAATCTCTAGAAGCATGCTGCAGGTCAAGTACACACACTCGAGAAGTTCGAGGTTAATGTGCATGTGGAACGGTAGCTGGCGCTGCTTCTCTAGACGCTCCTGTTCAGGCGACACTTGGCTGTATCTCTGCATCATTACACCTTGAGCCAGCAGCTCCTTCTGGCGACCGCTGCCACAAATCTCCTGAAGGGTGTTCTGGGCGTCATAAACGAGTCCTTTGCGGAAGGCGCACAGACCAACCTGGACCAGAGTTCGGTTGTAAAGAATCTGGGTTAGGACGTCGAAGTTGGGAATGGTGTCCTGCAAGTGGGACATGAGCATCATGTCGCGGGCATTGTAGTACTCGCCATGCAGTGCGAGGAAGTAGACCTGGCATAACATGGCTCGGGCACGGATGATGCCGTCACTGTTGCTGAACAGGTAGTTGCAAAGAACGTTGACCAAATTGTTGGCGTCACTGGATTGGCTGCGGGGGGTGATGACAGAGTCGACCTTGTCACCAGCAGCCTTCCAGCAGTTCTCCTCGAATGTCTTGATGACTTGGGCAGGCTGCAGATGTGTCAGTGCGTTGCTTTCGATAAGAAAGGAAGGAAAAACAAAAGGCTGGGCCCTCAAGAGACCATGACTAACCTTGAAGTAGACATGCTCCAGTCGTCTCATGACGATTCTATTCACGCTGTCTTGGGGGATCTCGAGGGCAGGGTCCTTGCGCAAGTACTCATAGTACAGTTGGCCGCGGACGATGATGTTGTATAGGGCACCCTCATCTTGGAGACGTTCAATGTACTCAGAAGTATGAGGATCAATGCTTTGGAGGGATCGGACGAGCTCGTCATCCAATCTCTCAACATATGAGACGATGCTGCCAGCAACCTTGATATATTTCTCGCCAGGCTGAAGAGCAGGGGGCTTCTCATCATCACCCCACTCCTCAACATTCTCAACAACGACGTAGTCCTTGTTGTTCTCAAGAACAGTTAGAAGAGTAGACAGCTCCTTTTCTGCAGCCTTCCAGTGTTCCAAAGGCATCACATTGGATGTACCAGCGCTCAAATCGAATCTGGCAGACACGATAGCGAGCAGAACCCGAATCTGCTGGTAGGGAGTGTTGGCAATCTCGCCGAGCTTCTCCATCACCTTGATCTGCTCAACACGATCGGTGTTCTTCTTGCCACGAGTTTCCATAATGCCACGCAGGTGTTTGAAGATACTCTCTGGGGTATACTGGAGAGTACGACCACCCTTGCCAACGGTAGCAAAGCCATCGTCGCCAACTTCTTCGGGTTGCGCGGTCTCCTCCTGAAATCTGGCAACCTTCTTCGGCTTGACTGGCTCAGGCTCCTCATCTTCGGACTCCATGAAGCCATCCTTGTCTTCTCTGTAGGCATTCACCTCAGTCTGGTACTCCTTGCTGGTCTTCTTGATCTTTTGCTTGACGGCATTCAGGTTACGGGCCTGGATGGCGTTCATCTTCTTGGGTGTAACTTTTGCCTTGGCCAAAGCCTCGTTCATGAAATCCTCCAGCTCGGCGACGATTCGGATATAAGGCTTAGGGGTCTTGCCGCCATCTTGCATGCGGACAACCTGTCTGCTGAGTTTGTCGAATTCTGTTTACGAGACCAATATGTTAATGACACAATAATTTCTCATTTTTTTCCTCCTTCCTTCACCGTTTTTTCAAGGTCGGTCATGATGTTGACACCGCTTTCAGAATTCAAATGGCGGCTCCCAATTTCCTTGTGCTGAAACAATAAAAAGGGGGGAAAGGAGGAGAAGAAGATACAGCAGGGGGAGAAAAACCACGATTTTTAGAGACAACACTTCTACGTACCAGCAGAGATTAATGTCCAGTCACCGTTCTTCTGGCCGTTCTCAATCTGCTTGATGGAGGCGTCGAGTTCATCGCGCTGTTTGTCCTTGGCACTCTTCACTTTGGCTCGGACTTCCTCCTCTTCACTGTCGCTGTCTGAAGCGGCATCCCTCAAGAAACGGTTGGCACCACCGGCTTCATCGTCGCTTGAGGTCTGTTCGTCACTCATATCAGAGTCGTCCATGTCGTCGGAGTCGTCGGAATCATTCTGGCCGAGATCCTGCTCTTGCTCCTCCTCGGAGTAGAGCTCTTCCTCATCAGAGGAGCTGTCACTGGAGCTGTCCTCTCCACCACGGAAAAATCGAGACATGGCGGGCAAATATTTCTCTTGACGCTATTCCTCGGTGGATATTGTCGCCTCGGGACGATCGAGGGTTAAGATACGGATTCGTCGCGAGGTGCGATGCGCGGGGTTAGGAATCGAGCCTGCCTCGTGAGGGTCGAAAATTGATGATTTTTGGTGGGAGGTGGGGCGCGCAACTTGGGGCTTAGCGAAGACTCAAGAGTCGAAGACAAATGTGAAGTGGTTACGGCGTACAGTTTGCAGTGTTGCAGCTGCACGGTCCAAATCCGCCCCTCGTCGCTCATTTCTGTGTCCGGGAAATTTTGTGTGTGCTTATGTCAGCGACCGGCGGTTTAGTTTTTCCTGGCCAGCGGCCATGGTTGTCTGCTGGCCTTCATGGCTTCCATATTGTGTTGAGCGGCCCGCTGTCCGACCACTAAACGGCGAGCTATTAGCCGTTTTGCCCCCCTCGGGCTACAGCTCGGCTGATGGCGGGAGGCTCTGGAGGCCCTGGGCCAACTAGCACCAGTCAATTGCCTTGTTACCAAATACTAGTTATTGTTTGATTTCTCAGCAACACCAACATATCCTCAACTTCACAACTCATACATAGTACACAGAGGGGCCCCCCGGTTTCGCCCTTCAGTCATCGCCATGGCCAGCGTTGGCTGTGCAAATGGCGCATCGGCCGCAAGGTCGTTCATTCAAATCGCGAAGCGTGGTTACTCAACCGCCGCTGCGAGATCATCCGCTCCTCTAGAGTTTCTACTGCCCCAAACTGTCTCGACAACCGATTGCCGCGCTGCATTTCTCTTACGATCGACGAAAACTACCCGCCCAAGTCGCACAGGCCGTGCGTGCTTGCGAGGCACCCCGTTCAGCGGTGGTCTACGACAGTCGCAGAAGCGAACCTTCACGACGACTGCGTCTCGACAGGCCACAGTGTGTGTGCTTAACCCTCAAAAAGACGAAGATGGAAATGAAATGATGTTGGAAATTACCCCAAGAGCAGCAAAGGTTTGGCAATTGGTATTCGATTTTGCAAAAGGCGCTCATGCTAATGTTTTCTGCGGTGCAGCGCTTGTCACAAATAATGAAAAAGGACGACAATCCCAATCTCGCTCTTCGCATCCAGGTAGAAAGCGGGGGTTGTCACGGCTTTCAGTATCTAATGAGCCTAGTCACCATACCACCGAAAGACACGGCAGAATGGTCGACAGTTGTAAACGAAGACGACACCATCTTCCAATTTTCTGACGAAGCGGACACGGCAGGTTCATCTGAGCATGGACCTAGAATTATATTGGATGAACCGTCTCTGAACCTGCTAAAGGGGAGCAAGGTGGACTTTACCATGGAATTGATTGGGTCACAATTTAAGATTGTTGACAATCCGTATGCTACAAGTAGCTGTGGTTGCGGCACAAGCTTCGATATCAAGCTGTAGCATGCGCAAAATGAGCCTTCACGGTTAAACTAAAAGGTAGTTCCTACTAAACCAAGTGACATCTTATAGGATATATGAGTCGCAAGGGGGCGATAACCCCGTTATAAAAGGATAGAGCTACGAAAAGCACGAACCCGGGTTGGAGTACAATACAGTGCGTTCAGCTGTAAGGGTGACAGGAAGGACGATTATTCCTGCTCCCCTCATAAGATAACTACCTTAAAGAATTACATATTTTAGAACACACGCCTACTCTGAAAGCAACCACATTCATCTTGTACACTCTTACCTTCAGTGCCAAACAGACAACGTAGCGTGACGTAGGGATATGGGCATTTGCACGACTCGTCACAGATACATCCAAAGTCAATCACTTAAACACCTAAGGAAGATCACAACGTGGCATGCGGAACTCTAGTGTGTCATTCATCAAGGAATCAATTACCCTTACACCTTGCCATGTACGAAACGCCGAGCGACCATGCCGTTAAATAAAATTTCCCTTTGTCCATACCACACCAAACCCAGTCGTAAAAGCTAGGCCATTTTTTGCTACTATATCTAGTTCATCTGGCGGACGAGGGCGTTGATAGCCTCCTCACGGTTGCCAAGGTCACCGCCTTCAATGAAGTGCTTGAACTTGCGGGGACGGAAGCCACCGGTGGGGTTGGACAGCTTGAAGGGCCACAGGAAGTTGGAGGCCTGCTTGAAGTTGGGGCCGACGGAGTAGATCTCGTGGACGAGATCCTCCATGCACACAATGCCGTACTTGCCAAGGGACTCCTCAATAATGGCGTTATCGGTCAAAGCAATGCGCTGCTTGTTGACCTTGCCGTAACCACGCTTGTAGATGAGTTCCTTGATAGTCTTCAGGTTGGGGTAACCGTACGCAACCCAGGGCTCCACAATCTTCAACATCTCGGTGGTAGCCTTGGTGGCCTTAATGAAAACACCGTTGTTGATCTGGAGCAGACGGAGAAGCTGGAGGGTCTTGCGGGGCTTAGGAGGCATCTTGTTGATACCCTTGATACGGACGACGAAGATCAACTTGGCCTCAGCAGGGATGTAGGCAGAGTCGTTCTCCTTGGCAACGCGGTGCAGGCGGATCTTCTCACGCTCGGCATCGCGGTACTCCTTGACGTACTTCTCAGCGCGCTTGAAGATGACGCCACGCTTCTCCTTGTTGGCCTGATTGGGCAAGTTAGCCTTTGGTTCGCCACTGCGAATGCATAAAAAAGCAACGTTTGGTCAGGCGAATAATCAGACCCGAAAGAAGGTATAAAGATCAACAGCATTGACAAGTGTCTAGTTGATGGGTATGTTGTGCATCATGATGCCATGAAAATGCGGAGAGATAATACATACAGCCTTCTTCTTCTGGAGAGAGGCAGTGCGCTCGGCGCGGGCCTTCTCCTGAGACTTGCGCTTCTTGAGAAGCGTCTCGGGGACGAGGATCTGCTCCTTGGTAGGGACGGTACTACACAGAATCAGATTAGTACGAGGTCCGGCATACTCAAGGTATGGACAAGAGCGCCGGTGAGAGAACTGTAGCTGTAGCGCGACATTCTCTGCTTTGGCTGACTCGAATATGAATTTAATCGGTGAGATAGGATGGATCTCGGGTCAACAATTTCTCGCCAACCCAAGCTCCTCATTTCCTTCGCACTCATCCGACAACAACCCCAAACGAGACGTTCAGGAACAATGGTCGCAGGCAATTGTACAGGAAAACCCGCAATTTGTGCCTTTGAGCGACAATGAATTTAAGAGTGAAGAATTGACGCGCACATTCTTCATCTCCAACACCTCCTGCATCATCTCTCAGCCCGCAAGCAATATTCCAGCCTGAGTGACCAAGGGAGACACCAGAGAGAGATCGAGCTGGCAGTTTCCCACGATGTAGTGCTCAGTCAAAACTTAAGCCATCATGGACTACCCAGCAAGAGGACCACGAACAATCTGCAAGAGCACTCGGAACCGGGCTCGATGCCCATATCGTTCAAGGAGAATCAACATACGTGGCACCCATTTTTGCGACTGACTGTTTGGTGAAGTCGGTTAGTATTGGCGTGGATGGGAAAGAAAAAGGGCAGAAATGGAGAGTACCTAGGTAGCTTGGTCCTTTTTCTCTTTTCGAAGTGGAGCATGAAAAATTTGGGTGGAGATTTTCCCGCCAAAATTCGAAGATAGGGTTAGGTTTTTTGTGCCTCACGCACAAAATTCTAGTGTTTCTGCCGAGTCCCACCGCCCACTAACAGCCCGCCCTCTCCCGCACCCACACCACTCCAGCGCCAGTCATGATGTTGGAAGATTTGTTCTGTATTTCCAACTGCCAGTGTCGAGAAACCAGACGATTTCAAAATGGCTCCTCCGAAGAGAACCGCTGCACCTAAGGAGAACATCTCCCTGGGCCCCTCCGTCCGTGACGGTAGGTGTTTATCATTTGCAATCCATGCCGCCAAATGGCATAATTGCGTCGTTTGTTTGAAGTCCAGGAATCGGTCACTAAACCCAGTTATACAGGCGAGCTTGTCTTTGGCGTTGCTCGAATCTTCGCCTCTTTCAACGATACCTTCGTCCACGTCACCGATCTCAGGTTCGTCTCCCCCGAAACAGCTTAAGCGCCGAAGTAGAGCTCGTCATCGCGATTTGAAACAAGACGAAAAATAAAAGTCCGGCGCTGACAAGATGCGCAGTGGTCGCGAGACAATCACCCGTGTCACTGGTGGAATGAAGGTCAAGGCCGACCGTGACGAGTCTTCCCCCTACGCTGCCATGCTGGCTGCCCAGGATGTCGCGGCTCGATGCAAGGAGCTGGGCATCAACGCCCTTCACATCAAGATCCGTGCCACTGGTGGTATGTTTCTATTACCCCGCCATTGCTATTGAGGGCGTGAGAACAACTGCTAACGTGATACATGTAAAGGTAACGGTACCAAGACCCCCGGACCTGGCGCCCAGTCTGCTCTCCGTGCCCTTGCCCGTGCTGGCATGAAGATTGGCCGTATTGAGGACGTTACTCCTACTCCCTCTGACTCTACTCGCAGAAAGGGTGGTCGCCGTGGTCGTCGTCTCTGAGCGTCATCTCGAAGTTTGGAATGGCTTGGTTTGGACTGGAGTTTCGCTATCTGGTTTCTCTTTGGCGTTGAGAAAAACGAGGGGAACGGCCATAGTGCCTGGTCCCCATTCTACTGTGCTCTGTCACATCCGATTAGCGGGTGTTTTGGCGAGCTGCTAGGTAGACGGATATGAATTCGCCCCCCGAAGCAGGCCCATGAAACAGTACTCCCAATCCGAGACCTTGTTTTCAACGTGTTGTGATATGTGTGATGACTATGCTCAACCGAAACGCATTGTGAAATGATATTCTCATCAGCTAGCTGTGGCGTCAAGTGTATTACGCTTCTGTAAAATTCCAACTCCCCATGTTCGTTACAAATACATGCGAAATGCTAACTTTACTTCCAGTTGAGTTCACTATTCAACTCCTGGCCTCAAAGACCACATTCCTCTTCCTGTACCGCCAGTTTTGTTCAAAATGGCCACTCTATCAAGGGCGGTCTTGAACTCGTCGCTCTGTTTCTTCCCTGGACAATAAGGATTGAAGTGATCCACCAGCATCTTGCTTGGTACTCGTCCACCTTGTCTGTTTATGAAAGCTTTGATCATTGTGACAAAGTCTTTAGCCTTCAAGTTCTTGTCAAGTCCGGGTGTTCCCGATCGGGAACTACTACCACTGCCGCCATCCAAGCCCTGCCGGTTCGCCAAGTTACTCATAATACCGGCCGAACTTGGGCCTCCGCGCCGTCTATTCCCACCAGGTCTCCCTCCAGATCCAACTTCGCCGGTCCATGTAACTGTTCCGATTGGTACACGACGAGCCTCTTGAGCGGCATGTCGCAAGTGAGCGGCAGCTTCACGCGCCACCTGGTTGGCTTCCTGACGCAGCACACCGATATCTGCTCTCGCCTTTTGTGGGCCATTGACAATTTGTTCATGATCATATGCGCTATTCACGGAGCGCGAAAAAATGCCTTCCAACATGCGTCTTTCGTCATGGGCAGAATCGTCTTCTTGAAAGTCCTCCATGGCTGCAACAATACTCATTTTTGAAAGCTCCTCTTGCTCAACATCTCCTTCCTTGTGCCCAACGCTGGTGATTGGTGCCAAGCGTTGCCTTGCAACAGCTTCCCCGTCAGTGTTGGCTGATATGTCAACCTCAGCTCCTTTGAACACGTCGCTTCGTTGAGCAGCAGCCTGGTCGCCAGCATTGTACGAGAACAAGTCATACAAATCCGACAAATCATATGAGCTTCGCTGCTTGGGATCTTTGAGCACTTTGTTTGTCATAAACTGCTTGAAAATTTGCCTGTGGTAGATTTTCTCCTCAATCGTACCTTCCGTCATGAGTCGATAAATCTTGACTGGTTTGTTCTGCCCCAATCTCCAAGCTCGTTCTCGAGCTTGTAGATCTGTAGACGGGTTCCAATCAGGATCAAAGATAATAATGCGGTCAGCACCTGTAAGATTTGTTCCCAGACCGCCAGTTCTGGTTGTCATAAGAAAGACATGAATGGATAGGTCGGCGTTGAATCTATCAATCATTGGTTGTCGTTGATCGACTGGTGTTTCTCCATCCAAACGTAAGTAGCTTATATTGCATTCGCGCATGCATTTCTCAATAATGTTGAGCATCAATTTACCTTGTGAGAAGAGCAGTGTCTTGTGGCCCTTTGGTATCATGACCTTTTGAAGCAGGTCCTTGGTGAGCTCCAACTTAGCTGAGAGCTTTGGGCTTCCAAAATTGTAGCCGATCTTGCTTCCAAGGCTCTTGTCCAACAAGTCTGGGTGGTTGCAAATTTTTCGCAGGATGTCGATTCCGTACAGTGATTGGCGCCGTCTGTTTAAAATGGCTGATACCTCATCTGAACCAAGAAATGTTTCGTACGCCTTGCGTTGCCCTTCGGTCAGCTTGCAAAACAAAACCTGTTCCGTCTTTTCAGGCAAATCCGCTGCTACATCAATCTTCAACCGCTGAAGCAAGTATTCACCGATGGTCTCTTTGAGTGCCTCGGCACACTTTTCGGCTGTCATGACTTGAAGGTTCGATGCATTGGCATAACCTCCCTGCCGAATCGGTATTTCAAATTGTGTCCGGAAATTGACCAGAGTTCCTAATCGCATTGGGTATATGAAGTCAAACAGGGACCAGAGTTCGGTCAGGTTATTTTGCACGGGTGTGCCGGACAATATCACTCGGTTTGGAGTGTTTAATTCCTTGCAAGTAACTGTTATTTCGGCGTTGGGGTTTCGAATCTTGTGCCCTTCGTCCAGAACAGCATAGCCCCATTCCACTGGAAGCAACTCATCTGCATAGGTCTGTAGGCCTGTGTAAGTTGTGACAAGAACGTGACCTTTGTCCACAACTCTTCTGACTATCCTTCTCGCCGCATTCAAGGACCTATTTGCAACTGGGCGGTAGTGTTCGACGTCGTACTCATCCTCAAACCGAGGATTCATCATGCCACTTCCCGATGAATGCAAAATCGATACTCTCAAAGGAGGCCACCAGCGATGAAATTCGCTTACCCATTGCCGCAACAAGGTAGCCGGCGCAACCACAATAACTGGACGCTCGAGCATTTTGCTGTGATGCAAGGCAGCGATGAACGCAATCAACTGCACGGTTTTACCCAGGCCCATTTCGTCGCCAATGATTCCTCCAACATTCTGCTTGTATAACTCTGCTAGCCACTGGACGCCAGTTTTCTGGTATCCGAATAAGGATGGGTGAATATCACCAGGTAACTTGAGTTCGTCATTGATGTAATGATCGGCATAGTCTGGTGATGGTTTCAGCCACTCGTCCTCGTCCTCATCACTTTCTGCTGAAGTGTGCTCATTGTCCGCCGTTTGCCGACGAGCCCGCCTTGCTCTACTTCGCCTCAAAATCCAATCTTTCAGTCTTCGTCTGTAGTGTGTTTCGTTGCCATCATCAAGTTTGCTGAGATCAACTTCTTCCTGCTCTTGTGCTCTGAGTTTGGCCTTCTGCTTGCGATTTTCTCGTCGAATAAGATCGTCTTCATTCCCCTGTTGCCAAACTGTGGAATCAGCAGATTCTGACCCCGACGGATGGTCTGGCTCGAAATCTGCTGACGAACTACGCTCCCGTTCTTTCCGTCTCTTCTTTCTTGGCCGCAGTGAGAACTCACTCTCTACGGTGTATTCGGACGGCTTTAGATCCTTTACAACGACGTCATCAACGAACCCTGGACGCCGCAGCAGCTGGTGTGAAGTCGGCCCTTCAGCCTCTTGGTCATATTGCTCTGCGGCAGCCTCTTCTTCTGCCTCCAATATGGTGTCGGCCAGTTGGCCAGCTATTCCTTCCGGGCGGGTTCCTCCCACCTTAGCAAACGGGGTGATTTTTCCTGTTCGAATAAGATACTCTCGGTGGCTTTCGCCAGCAAGCCTCTTGGACTTGGAATGAGGGCCAGTGTCTAACTGGTTCTCTTGGTGTCGTTTATCAATCCGTGCTTGAAAATCTGCAATGTCGCTAGTGATTTGGCCGAGTTCCTCTTCCAGCTTTGCAATCTCTTTTTGCACGTTGCGCGATTGATACGGATTACCAGCAACTCTCTCTAAGCGCCTCTTCTCTTTGTCCAGCTGAGACTGTAGTCTTTGTCTTGTGGCATCTAGCTTGGCCATACGATTCTGGTCTTTCTTGTCCTCGGCTTCCATCAGTGCTGCGCTCGCCTGAATGGTAATATCTCGCTCCAAATCATCCTGATCTCTTACGGTTCCCGTCAAATTTTTCAAAGCATCTTCTTCAGTCATGACCTCTGACTCAGGTCTCTGAGCCGTCTGTTCGGTATGCATTGCTTCCTGGGCGGCTGCGATCATCTTCTCGACCAGGTGTTCACCTCCTTCGCCACCAGCGCTCTGGTCTTTTTCCCAGTCGCGATCCATGTTAACCAATTAGAGAGGGCCCGGAGGCAGTCTGTTGCATTATCGTCGAATTTTTTTGAAGGCTTTTCAGAAGAATTCCTCTTTGCATCATAGTCTATATCATTAACACCGCTGGTAACGGTTCACAAAGGATCCCAGTCATTTAAGGGCTGGAGCTGGGAGCCGTCGAGATGAAACCATGACTTTCGGGCTGGACTTTCATGGTTCTCTCGCAAACAGTAGATGCGGTCTCCCAGCGACTTCCTAATGACTGCTAGTCAAGACGGCACAGCAGGAATGGTGATGATGGAAATGTCAAGTGTATCTGGCACGACCATTATAAATCGTGAATGGAGTGCACTGTGCAGGGGTGGCAAAAAGCATGTGGTGATTGGTCAGCCTAGTGGGGCCCCTTCCCAGGTCGGCTCTTGTTTCCACTGTCCTTTCTACATGAACACACGGATTACTTTATAACTACCCTATAGCAATGGCCGAGTGCAACGCGTTTTCACAAATTGTGCGATCTGATGATGCTGATGCAGTTATATGTTATGTATTTTGTTGTTTTATTAAAAATCCGACGAGCTGATGATAGTTCTCCGTGCTAGACTCCCTCTACCAAATCCACCCCCATCTATCCAATCCGTGTAGGCGAACAAACCATACATACAATCACTTTTTGAGTAAAACTGCCATATTCGTTTCCATCCTTTTCATGATCACAGACATGTGGCTCCCAAAATGTCTATAGACAAACACTGCCGCTCCATACTACTCCAAAACCCAAAGCTAGTCTTCGCCCGGAAATGCGAGCCCGCCGCTCGTTATATGCCGCCCACCTTTGGCAGTATCTCGTTTTGGCGCGGAGAGTTGGCTTCATGGATGTGACGAGCACAAACTTCTCTGTACTGAGAAGAGAGGCCCAGCTCTTCTAACCAACTCTCCCAGCCCACTGCTTGCGCTCTAGTTCCCAGTTCATACAATCGTTCAAAGCTTGCAGAGAACGCTTCGTCGGGCTCAACACAGATTTGGAAAATCTTCTGCATCAATTTCACCCAAAAGGCAGGCCATTCGGGGTCAAACGAGCTCTGGGGGTATCGAAATTCCACAGTTCCCAGGAGAGTAATTGCAATGCCACATCGATGTGGCATATTCGTCCCAGACGTCCCCGATTTCAGGTCTTCCCGGAGGCTGTCTATTGTCTTTGCTGCAAATAAGAACTCCATGAATCGAAAGGCATCGGGTTCGTTTGGAGACCTGTTCTGCAGCTTAGATCGGAAGCCATGAATGGTCTGTATGAAGCCTCCGCAAGACGATGCCGTCTCTGTCTTATTACCCTTGCTCTTCTTCCCAAGGATTGACATGCTGCCGATGGGTTCTACAGAAGGTGAATTGCGTCGAAGGGGATGACAAATTTTCTGAATGAATGGCTCTTCAAGTAGGCGAATCACAGCGATCACCTTCTTGGCCAGTTGGAGATCTATTGATCCCGACGAAGGGCTGCCGTGGATATGCAGACCACAATCTGAGGTAAGGCTGATCAGAAGGCTGTTACTCAGCGCCTCCAATACCCTTTTCAAAGTTGGTAGTCCAGCATCTATCTCCTTCTGGTCTGAGATGACTGGCGAGCTTATTTCCATTCCATTCCAAGAATGATCCGTTGGAGGACGCTCGTTGCTCCTATTGGGGATATGTTCGTCGGCCACGAACCAGTACCGGAACTGATCTTGTTGACCCAGGTGATATTGTTGACCCGGGAAGTTCTCCTTGGCTAACTCTTTGTTCCATACCCGGCACACATCACCGGTTCCAGCTTTTCTAAGGGGATGTTCAGGGTCTTCAAGGTTGCCTGTGTGTGTGATATAAGTGCCGTTGCTATCCTTCACCAGATCCCCTTCAGGAGTTTTGGTCAAAGGATCTTGAAGATCGCCTGGGTTGATGCGACAGGCGACCGGAAGGTTGCAGTTTGTCAAGGCCTCGCATACTTTCAAAGAATCCAGACTCGCAGGGTACGTGTCATAAATATCGTGGTAGCCTTCCGAGTCGGGCCAACGATCGTCGCCGGATAAGCGTGGGTGTAGGATGGCAGAAGGTGGCCTTCCAGCCAGCATAAATTCAATCTCTATACCGAAATTCTTTGCCATCCTCTGCCGTAACAAAGTTCAGGAAGAAGGTAAAAAAAAAAAGTCGGGACTTGTGCTATTGCAAACAGGTGTTGTGTCGTCGAGGGAGGGAGACTGATGGGCATCTTCCAGTCGGTATGCTGCGGCAACATCATGCTTTAAATATTGAGTCGAGGGCATTGTTCATTGCTCAACGTCATCTGTGATAGTGGGAGTGCTACTCCATTCATGAATGATGTCGAGTTTAGGAGAAGTATGATGGATATTACTGCTAAAGTGTGTAACAGGGTGAGGTAGTACAACCGAGCGAGGCAAAGTATTTGGGTGCTAATAACAGCTAGGTAGCCACCAGTTAGGCAGATATAGAGAATGGTACTCATGTTCAGTTCCTACTTGCTCCATGTCCCTTCCATTGGTATAGATTTCCTACATTGTTCTAGCTACAGAGCATTCACTGAGTTCAAGATGGATGTCTCGTGTCTTCACATGCTAGGCTATCTTTACGCCTGAGTAGTTATTTTTAGTCCATTGATGTATTTGAAATTTGAGGGGTGAGATGACACTTCTGGAGTAGAATGAAGGGAATCTATTGCCCTTGTTCAATGCTCGTTCTTGGTAGAGCACGATGGGTTGTGGGAACAGTTCAAGTGCGAGGAAGGGGAGAAGAAAGGATGGTGACACATGGAACTGGTTGCATATCCATAAAAGTCGAAAGTAATGTGTCATTTTGCGGCGAACAGAAGTTGAATGTCGGAGCAGGACGAGCACTTATCATTTCACACAAAGTCATCACGTCAGATGGCGCCGGGGTTGGCCTGCTCAACAGCAAACATGGAGCTTCACAGATGGACCGGTAATAGCAGCATTGTCAGACCACTAATGAGACATTTAAGCCATCGAGCTCCTTCTTTTTGTCTATTCACAGGCTCATGTATGCTAGGTGGTGGTGAGATTGTCCAGGATGCGAGGTCCAGAGCATGCGGTGGAAGAGCCGCCGAGTCTATGATTGTTTGCGACGTCGGAATTCAATATTGGGTCTGGCCTCGACTAGGCCGAAAAAGAAGCGCACAAGCGCACCATTGCCCGTGCTGAGACGCACCGCAACACGCGGCGCGCCTATCAAATCATTTCGCGTCGTCGCCGCCGCCGCCGCCGCCGCCAAGGAGCCCGGTTGAACTGACAGCTTCAATGCTCCCACTCTTGACCACCTTTTCACCTTTTCTATCATCGCCAGAGCCCATGCTACGAGCGCCGCCGACATGCACATCATAAAGCCCTCGTGGCTGAGTCACAGCGGTGAGCAGAAAGACTTCGAGGTGTATAGCTGTCATATTTCTCCCGATGGCAAACGACTCGCGACCGCCGGTGGTGATGGCCACGTTCGAGTCTGGTCGACCGACGCCATCTACAATGCGAAAGACGCCAGCTACACGAAGCCGCGCCAGCTCTGCCACATGAGCCATCATTTGGGAACAATTCACTCTGTGCGGTTTTCCCCCAATGGACGGTACTTGGCCAGCGGTGCCGACGACAAGCTCATTTGCGTATACCACCTGGACAAGGGAGCGCCTGCGATAGCCTTTGGGAACAACGACCCGCCGCCCGCGGAAAACTGGAAGACGTACAAACGACTCATTGGCCACGAAAACGATGTTCAGGATTTGGCCTGGTCGCCGGACTCGTCCTTGCTGGTGTCGGTCGGGCTCGACTCCAAGGTCGTTGTTTGGTCTGGCTATACCTTCGAGAAGCTCAAGGCCATCCCGGCGCATCAGAGCCATGTCAAGGGCATCACGTTTGACCCTGCCAACAAGTTCTTTGCGACGGCAAGCGACGACCGAACCATTAAAATTTTCCGTTATACGCCCCCGGCCCCAAATTCTACACAACACGACATGATCAGCAACTTTGTTCTCGAGACGACAATCAGTGCACCATTCAAGAGCTCGCCTCTAACCACCTACTTTCGGCGGTGCTCATGGTCCCCTGACGGTAATCACATCGCCGCCGCCAATGCCGTAAACGGTCCCGTCAGCTCAGTCGCCATCATCGAGCGCACCCGGTGGGACAGCGAGATCAACTTGATCGGCCACGAAGCGCCAACCGAAGTCTGCATGTTCTCCCCACGACTCTTCCACACGGTCAAGCCAGACGAAAATACCACGTCGAATGGAAGTTCTAATCAATTGCTCGTCACCGTCGCCGCCACTGCCGGTCAAGACAAGACCCTTTGCATATGGAACACGAATACATCGAGGCCCGTTGTCGTTCTTCAAGATCTCAGCAGCAAATCGATATCTGATTTATCATGGGCTCCCGATGGCCAGACGCTTTTCGCGTCCAGCCTAGATGGTGGTGTTGTGGTCGTCAAGTTTGAGGAAGGAGAGCTCGGTTGGGTCGCTCAAACCGAGGAAAACGTCAGGGCTTTGCAGAAATATGGTGCATCTCGCAAAGGGATGGGAATGCCCGAGGACGTGGATGGCCTGTTGCTGGAGACGCACAGCAAAGCTGGGGAGTCTAGAGCCGTCGAGTCGAGGATGGGCGCGCTCATGGGTGACCTGCCATCAGATACACCAAAGGAGTCTACACCGGCTCCAAACGGTACGAAAGCTGGATTGGAGAAGCACACTACTGCTACAAATGGCGGGCCCGAGCCTGCCAAAAGCCCTGGGGAGGAGCAAGAGGACAAGACTGAGGGCAAGACTGAGGGCAAGACTGAGGGCAAGACTGAGGGCAAGACTGAGGGCAAGACTGAGGGCAAGACTGAGGGCAAGACTGAGGACAAGACTGAGGACAAGATCGAGGACAAGACTGAGGACAAGACTGCAGACAAGACCGCAGACCGCGTCAAAGAGTTGAAATCACGAGTCACAATTGGCAAGGACGGCAAGAAACGTGTTGCGCCACTTCTTGTTTCGTCGTCCGGTACTGGTCAGTCCTCGTTGCCCCAGACACAGCTAGTTGGCTCAACAGCAACCAAGACCACGCAGAATGATACCCCACAAACCATTTTAGATCTCAGCAAGCCGTTCGACGGACTACCCAAAGGTGGCATCGCTTCCATGCTCCTGGGAAATAAGAGAAAATCTGTTCCCGGAGAGGCCGATGAGGATGAAGAAGGCCCTGCGGCCAGGCGAGCTGCAATAGGCCCTTTGCCAATAGTTACTAACGGCATTGATGGCGTAGAGCCTGCTGCTCTTACTCTAGTGCAGAATGGAGTGGTCCCTACACCCGAGTTTCTGCGTCCAGCAGTCTTGAATCCATCAATATCATTTTCCCAAGTGAGGTTGGCAGTCCCTCGGATTCGATCACATATTCTCCGTCCAATGGATCGGGGGGTGTTACAACCGGATAGCACTTTCGAAGATGCATCCAAGGCCCCGGAGAGTATCATCATGGAAGCCAAAAACGACACGAATCCACGGGATCCATCGCACGTCATGGTCACGAAAAGAGGAAAGTTGCTATGGCAGGAGTTTCTTCCCCGAGCCGTTATCCTGGTGACTGCCAACAGGAACTTTTGGGCGGCAGCCTGTGAGGACGGGTCTATCCACGTATGGACTCCCGCCGGTAGGCGTTTGCTGAACCCTATCATACTCGAATCCCAACCAGTTATTCTGGAATGTCGAGAACATTGGCTGGGG